ACGGCAGGTGGGAAAAAGTGGTAAAAACCGGGAAAAACGGGTTTTACCGTCCAAAATGAAAAAATATGGCTGCCCATATATTTAGTTATGGGGAAAGCTAACTTCTTTAATAATCAATATTTCCGAAATTGGACTTCATATTCGTGATCTCCACGAATTTCTGAAAATTTTGATATGTAATACGGGCACTTTTAATCAGTTTTAATTATTTTTCAAATTTTCCCATATGAATACATGTTAATTTTAGAGATTATTCGAATTGAACCGTATTACCAACTAATTTTCTCAGAATTTGATGGAGAATACGAATATGAAGTCAATTTTTGAAAATCTTAAGTTTTAAAGAAGTTGTTTCGGATTGCCCCAAAACCAGAGTTTTTCCCATTTCTTCCATTTTTCCCATTTCCCACTCATTTTGGGTGGGTGGTAAAAATGTCTTTTTCCCACTTTTTCCCGCTGCCCTGGTCAATTTGGTTTTTACCAATCGAAACCCTCCCCAAAATTGGGTTTGCGGGAGTACGGAATCACACCACTGGGGGAGGTGAGCTGTCTCAACTATCCCATGGCTCTTAGTTTTACAGAGTACTTGAAAAAACTGGAGCCCATGTTGGAAATTTCAAGGACGAACTTCGTTAAAGTTAAAAATGTCAAGACTTTCACCGGAAACTAATGGCCCATTTGATGCCTTCATACAATTACAGAATAAGCTTTGCATATTATTTTTCTTCAAAAAGAAGGATACGTTGCAGGAACCCAAGCTGCACAGCATGTACATCATGTTTAAGGACAAATAGTCTGATAAGTGTCAGGGTTCTTTGTCATGCAGGAAGAAATGCATGAAGTTTCTAATCTAATGCATTTGAGGTTGACTAAATAAAAACGAAAGTTTTTTAAAATGTCAGAGTTTAATGTGATTCTAAAGTGTATATGGAAAATGGAAAAATCAAGTAATAATTTTTATTATGAACAACGAAGTACTTTATCCTGATGAAAGGAAATATTTAGAAGAAAATATTAATGATGGTCGGATGTAGTATCAAATTATGATATATTGAATATTGCCATTCCCATTTTTGAATTTATTAATTATTTTGAAATCATGCTCATAACTGTTATGCTGGATCGTTTATATTTAAAGTTTTAGTTGCCATGTCCTTACTTTCTGCTATCACCCAAATTGTCAATTATATCTAGTGCATAACGGGGCGCCTACCGGCGCCCCCTCAAATTCTGCCGCCCCGGGCAATTGCCCTGCTTGCCCACCCCCAGTTTAGGGCCTGAATGTTCACTATAAGGGCAACAAATTGCAAAAATTTCAATTCAAAATTTTTAATAGCGCCAAAGATATTAAAGGTCAAAATCGTTATCACGTATGTGGAGTACTCTCTGCAATGTAAAACTTTAAATGTGGCCCGCCGTTGGACGGGTTTATAGGCAAGTAAGTATATATAAGTTCTTTCCGTCCAACCACTAAGGAATGTGAAAAACGGAGAAAATATTCTTGTCGCGGTTTCCGATCCCTTATACAGTCGATTTTTCAGATCCGCGTAATTGCCCTACACCAAGGCCAGGTGTTTTTAAATTTCATAGATTTAACGGGGCGTTATAGTTTGCTCTGGCCGCTCTATCAGCCAATTCAGTCTCCCGCTCAATATTTCTCCGTATGTTTACAACATGCATAATTTTTTGCACAGCTTTTTTACCTGGTCATTCTAATACCGAGATTAAATGTGCACTCAAAAATGTGAAATTTGTTGAATTATTTACAAGTGATAGTTGCGCAACAAGGGAGCAGGCTCTTTAAAGGATTGATATGCTACTTTTATTTATATTAAACAATTAATATCGAGAGAAACAAAATTTTGATGGAAATTGATATTCGGCATTTAATATAAATAAAAGTAGCATATCAATTCTTTAAAGGGCCTGCTCCCTTGTTGCGCAACTATCACTTGTTGTAATTCAACAAATTTCACATTTTTGAGTGCACATTTAATCTCGGTATTAGAATGACTAGGTCAAGATTTTGCATTTTTTCATGATTCGTCTCAACTTGTCATAGAGTATGCGTGGTGGGAAGCCACCACCACACATACTCTTCCCAGTGGAAACCACTAAAAACAAACAATGCCAGATGAGATTTGCAGTTTTTTGCAAAAAATTCAAAATTCCCACCGAAACTTGTGAACTTTTTACCCCACCGAGTTCATCAGTTTCGCCACTGTGATTTAGGAGGATTGGGTTAACATAAAATATAGTCAACTCTTAATACACATCAGAATTTTTTACTTTAATATAAAATTTCAAAAATATTGAAAATTAAATAAAAATCTGAGTACGTTCTACTGCGATTACGTAATAATTTTATGGTAAAAGAATGCAAAGAATGAAACATTACTGTTCTTAATAATTTAAATGTAACAATTTTCACGACTTGAAAGTGTACTTGGGCGAGTTGTACGGGCTTTAATTAGCTGTTTCGTTTTTTTCCGAAATGTTTCGGAAATTAAAATGTCAGTTGTATGAGAAGTGCACGAAACCGCAAAAAAGTGTTTGAAATGTACGCCCTCTAACGTATTCAATGAATTACGGTATCAGATTCTTGCAGTATGCGTTCCCAAATATTCCTTTCGCTAATAAATTGAATCTGAAACAAGATTATTGAGGTTGTTTGTTGCAAATGGACAGTGGTTACTGTCAACCGAGACAACTCCAATTGCATCATGAATTAACGAAAAATAAAGATACATGTAAATGCAACCAAATGTAAAGGATACCAAAAAGGGAATAGTAAGTTAACAAAGTTAAGTCCGGAAAACAGGAAATTCACTACAACATTATTATTGTACCGACTATTTATGATTTTGTGAACTCTTTTGAGTTCTGTCAAACGGCTCCTGCAAGTCAAAAATGCCTCATAATATCTATTGTACACTCTTAGCAAACTGGTAATAATTTAATAAAAAATATTATTACCGAGGGTTTGGTAATAACCATTAATTCCACCACGGTAATAAAATCATTACCAGCTTTTATAAATTTTGGGTAATGGACAATATCGGTAAATGGTAATATTAGTTTTCCCCGAGTGGCGATGACTCCACTCCGCGAGGAATTGAATCAATGCCATATTGTGCTGACAGTCAATGCCGATGTAATTTTACTAAAGAGTAACAAATATACACCAAACGGTGTAAACAATTTTCATAATTTGGTATTGTAATATTACTGGTAGAACCAAAACTGTTACCACATGGACGGAATATTCACGCCATAGCCATCATCATTTCTCGTCATCTACTTTGTAGTTACCTTGGCCGTTAAAGTCAGCGAAGTAAAAATGACCAAATTGGTCAGAGTTTGTAATTTAGCCAGGGGAAAGAAATTAATTATTTCTTCTGGGGATTATGAACAGTTCTTGCGTAGTGGTAAGTATCATTCCCATTAAATTGAGAGCGTGTTTTAAATTTGTGCATTAAATAACTCAAAAATATCTAAAATGTGTGTAATTATTAGTGAAGACCAAATTTCAAGTCGAGACTGACAACGACATCATTTTGGAAGACGACCATGGCACTGAAGTTGATGAGGAAGTATTCCCTATTCTGTTGGATCAAGGCATAATCCCAGCAATAACATTCAAAATCGTGGGGGAAGACGCAGCTAGTGATGGATCGTACACCCCTCAATGTCAACAAATTTATTACAGTGAGTTTTATAATCTGGATAATATAATAAATAACAATGAAAAGCAAAAGAAATATGTAGCGTTTTTGTGTAGTTAATAGCCCTGCGCCCATTTCGCCTCAATCGCCAGCAACTCCAGCGTCGCCCCAAGGGGAAGACTATTTTAAACAGGTACATACTTACTAGATGTATTTATATGTATCCTAATGGAATTAAATAAAATGCGGAATCAAGTAAATTTTAATGATGTTGCAAATTCTCAGGCTTTAGAAAGTTATATTGAGAGAAAACCAGACTTGAAGGAATTAGTGTCAAATTGTAACGCAGAGAGATTGGTAGACTCGGCGGCCGCAACGAAACTCATAAATGATTTTGTCTCGGTGTTAATTGATTTAAGGGGGTAAGTTTTCCTTGTTGTTATTAGCAGATAATATCTGTCTATAAAATTAATCAAATTAACTTTACAATATATAGGGATTTACCATCCACCTCTGATCAGCTGCGATTTGCCAAGGCAATAATCGAAATTATTCCGTGTTGGAAATACCCGGATTCAATTGATGGAATTGTATGTGCAAAATTATAGCTTCCCTAGAAATTTGAATTTAAATATATGTATATATTATTATTCCCTTATTGCAGGATATTTTGTATGATACTGTGAACCGTTCCGGCTTAATTCAGACTCGTTTACGATGGATTCACCGAAACGTTAAAGAAAAAAACCCTCTAAAATCTTTGAAGCGACCCGTAGCGAGTGGAGCTGGAGCACCCATTTCCAATAAGCAAGACGGACATGTTCAAATTGCTGCTGACGATATCGCCATCGCGGAATTAAATTCCTCACTTCCGGAGGACGAAGTTAGGCGTCTCATGATACAAACCTTGGAGCACAGAAATTATTTGCGAGGCACTAATGAAAACTCAGTCCTCCGGGTGTATCGAAAATTCTTGGAATGCGGATTTCTGGTAATTACTACAAAGTTATTAGCTGTATTTAGATTTTTTTTTACCTTAATTTATTGACACAAATTATGATAGATTAACTTCGAGTTCCAGCTGATGTTTCCAGCTAATGCGGCCAAATTTCTGGACACGTGGGAAACATTGAGGGAGCAAATATTAACAAACTGTAAAAGAATCAGCAAATCGACGGCTCTTCATAAATTCATAAACGATAATGCTGGTATGAATATAATATGGTTATAATTTCGTTAATTTTGCTTATTTCGTATAATCTGCTGGAAAATCAATTTATTTGCAGGAAATTGGGATCGGTCAACTGGCGCATTGTTGGCCCTGCTTTATTTAATCCCCCGACAGCGCATGGGCGAGGGAAAGGTGCGCGGTGCAAAATTGAAGATGCGGAATCTAGACTTGTAAAATATTTTAAAGTACACATTTACAACATATTTGCTGTGTTTTTGTTTTATAGGAACATAACCTGTAAATATTCTTACTCTTTTAGAGTGGAACGCCATTGCAGTCAATTTTAGATACTTGGGATTCGGATATCAGTCAACCCACTTTGGTGTACTTGGGCGACGATAAAACAAATCCGTCGACATTTTTCATCATTTGTGACAAGTTGGCCCTTCCGCTGAATGCCAGTAATTCTACAGAGGCCATCGACTCTCTTTTTAAGGCTCATTATGTGATCGGGACAAAATACGACCAAAATTTGGATGGATTATGGAAGTTTATGCAAATTCACGTCTTCCAATTAGACATTCAAAACACAACTCTTCCGCGCAAAGCAAAACAAGTCCTCCAACAACTTTCAAGCCTTTCGGAAAGCAATTGACCAGTAATTTTAATAATATAAATTTCGGTAAAAATGTATTATTGTTCTGAGTGCAGAAATACGTTTACTCGGGTAGAAGATATTATTGTTCATACAAAATACATTCATAATATAGGTAGTGCAAATTTTAGGAAAAGCTTTTGCCCCTTCATAAATTGTTCCGTTCAACTTAGTTCTTGGAGTGGTTATCTTAGGCATTTAAAATCACACGATGTCTCGACCGCAATTAATGTTAGTGAAGTAATTAATGCGGTAGTTAGTCACGAAGCATTGGAATCTCTTCCGACGAATAATAATAATAAGTTGGATGAAGACGAAGTAGTAGAAGATATCTCAGTTGAACTAGGCATTCAAATTATGTCGGATATTTTAAGTAGCTTTTGTTCCTCACTTTTAGCAAAGGGTGTAACAAACACAACAGTAGATTTTGTAGTTCAGGAATTACAATTTAGTTTTACACAAGTAATTAGTTTAGTCCTAAAATTAGGGAAGAAGTTTTGTAAGGATGATTTTGAATTCTTCAGTTGTCAAACTAAAGGTTTAATGCAAGCTTTTGCCACAATTAAATCTTCATATCAAAGACAAAAAATGTTTGAGAAAACGGCCAGACCAATCTTACCCAGAGAACTGTCATTAGGTAGTAGAACTGAATTGAGAGTGAAAAATAACAAACGACAACAAGTAATTGTTCCCGATACATTCATGTATGTCCCATTGCTCAAAACTTTAGAATCCATTGTAAATTCCCCAAAATATTCAAAGTTTTTTATAAATTATAATTCCAATTCGCATGAGGTAAATGTTTACAAAAATTTTAGCGATTCTAAGTCCTTCAAAAATAATATTCTCTTCTCCAAATTTCCTAATTCGATTCAAATTCAATTATTCTACGATGACTTCGAAACAGTAAATCCATTGGGGTCGAAGCGTGGTGTACATAAAATTGGGGGAATTTATTTCACAATAAGAAACTTCCCGGACTATATAAATTCCAAATTAAGTCAAATTCATTTGTTGGCTCTTTTTTATACTGAAGATGCTAAAAAATATGGAATGAACGCTATTCTTAAATATTTAATTCCGGATATCAAGTTACTAGAAAGCAGTGGGATAAAAGTGAATGGGTCTGAAACAATTTACGGAACGATTTCTAGTTTATCTTGTGATAATTTGGGGATGAACTCTTTATTAGGTTTTTCAGAATCTTTTAACTCGCATTATTATTGTAGAATATGTTGCACGTCGAAGACGGAGGCACAAGAGGTGTTTGATCACAATTTGATGCACATTCGGAGTAGACCTGATTACGAACAACATTTGAGACAAAACAAATTTGGGGTTCAATCCGAATGTGCATTGAATGAGCTGCAATATTTCGATTTTTTAAATTCCCCATCAGTGGATATTATGCACGATTTATTAGAAGGGGTTGTGCCATTTGAGATCAAGATTGTGTTGCAAAAACTCATATCTTTAGGCTGCTTTAGCTTAGAAATTGTAAATCAGCGACTTATGGCCCATAACTATGGATATTTAGAATCCAAAAATCGACCAAATCCAATTCGCTTAGATAGCACCGGACACAAAATTGGTCAAAAGGCGGCACAGGCGTGGTGCTTAATAAGGCATTTACCAGTAATTCTGGCTGATCTAATCGTTAGTGAGGAAGGAAGTAAATATTGGGAGCTTATTATTCAACTTTTAGAAATAATGAGTCTAACGTTTTGTAGGAAATTTTCATCTTCTAGTTTACAAATTCTCGACCAGAAAGTAATGACACACCACAAATTGTTTCGTTTTTTGTTTCCACATGAACGACTAATTCCGAAACATCATTTCATGTGCCACTACTCTCATGTAATTAGACAAACTGGGCCATTAATATCTCTTTGGACAATGAGATATGAAGCAAAGCACAATTATTTTGCACAATTAGCTGCACATATTAAAAACTTCAGAAATATTTGTTACTCTCTAGCATTTAGGCATCAACAATACAGCGCATTTATGATGCAGTCCTCCGAATCAAGCGATAGTCTTAAAACTGATCATATATTTATTGTCAATCTTAGTAATTTTGTCGATTCATTCGATTTAATTGAGAGTTTAAGATTATTTGACTGTTATCAAAATTGTGACGGAGAAACACAAATCTATACAACCAACCAGATTTGGTATCGAGGGTATAATTATAAGACGGGGTTTGTAGTTTGTTATGAAATGGGTAACGTATTTCCAAAATTTGGAATTATTAATGAGTTTCTTTTGCCTAACGATAAAACTTGTTATTTGCTTCTTAAGGAACTAGATGTGGAGTATTTTGATCGCCATTATTTTGCGTTTAAAGTAAAACATAAAATTGATATATTCAAAGTTATTTCAATTACAGATTTAGTGGTTCATGACTGTTTTGAAATTCAAAGAAATTGTAGCAATGAATCGTTATATTTAGTTCTTAGACATCATTTATAATTTACACGAGTTGAATGTATATTACAAAATTTCGAGTTTTTAATTATATTGCATAATGTATTATTAATTCGAACATGTCATTGGTAAATTTAAGTTAGTACACTTTAATCGTTGTAAAATAATTAATTTTGTCATCAGTAAATAAATAAATAAATCCTCACTAAATAGTGTCAAATGTTAAGTGCAGGGGGTTATAAATTATTACCTCGAGAGTAACGAATCGATTCCAGATGAAGACAAAGTTGACAAAATTGGGTAATATTATATGTACCATTTAGTAATGAATAACACCAAGTGGTACTCACCTTCAACATAACTCAGGAATGTAACATAACTATTGGGTAAAAACTGATTACTGTGCGATGTTGAACGTGATTGCCTGGTTGCAGTTAAATTTTAACCGCATGGAGCTGAATCATCACTTTGTGGAATTTTTGTGAATCTTTACCACAATGTGCTGAAATCATTACCAACGCGGTAGAGTCATATATGCATTCCGCCTGGTAACGATCTGGTATCAATTTTTTTAAGAGTGTACGTCGGGGCGCCTGCCGGCGCCCCTACTGGCTCGGCGCCCCGGGCAATTGCCCTGCTTGCCCACCCCAAGTTTAGGGCCTGGTAACACTTTACAAGGACAAGCCCAATCCCTAGTTGTAGGCCAATATTCCATGCACCGATATAAGTTTTAAGTTACTCGTTGAATTAATATGCACATTTTTTTAATGAAGGACTGTAAAAATAACTCGTAAATGAGCATAGGAACTCGTCGCAGGAAGGAACCTTTCCTGGAAAATGGTTAAGTTAACCTGATGGGTAGACAAAAGAAAAGAAAAGAAATTACGAAAAGGACTGTGCAAATACTTATCATGAGGTAGAATTGAGGTTTATTTTATACTTTCCATGTTAAGTTTACGTAACATGCATCACGCAGGTGAAACAACGGGGGTAAAAATTCTGCTTAAAGGAACGTCCATAAATTTATTACGTCATCATTTTAGTGGGTGGCTGGTTGAGGTTTTCATATCTTTCCCATGTTCAAATTCCACACTCTCAGAACTGCGGTAATGAAAAGGCAAACTCGTTTATTACCGAGCAGTTGGTAAATATAGACTTTCCCGTCATAGTAATAAAATTGTTTACCAAAATTCATTATATTACAGGAAATGTATTTATTATTATTTGGTATTATCGGGGAAATCAGAGCGGTAACGTAAAGTTACCAAGTCATATTAATTTAATACTGCAGTGAGAGAACGTGAATAATACTGCCCCGTATTAATCATTTTACTTTACGGGTAATGAGTTAAAACTTTCATGTGGTTTGTTTTTATTATTGCACCGGTAAGTATTTTTTACCTTCTCAATAATAAAGTTACCACGCAGTCACACCGCTAAATACAAAAGTAGCACGAGCGAGTGGAAAAATTAAATGGAAAATGGAAAAATTAATTCGCCCTTCGAATTCTTTTCGGGCAAGAAAATTGATCCTAAGCCCAGGGGATTATGGAGATTTTAGTTTAAAAGTAAGTAATAAATTCAGTTAATTATTTGCATCATTATTGTTTAAATGTAAAATAAATTTTTAGTTATTGAGAAGTATAACTTGGCTGATGACGTTGTCATATCTCTGGAGGACGCGCTGACGTAGATGAGCAAGTTTTTCCGGTTTTGTGGGAGATAGGAGGGACACCGAACATTACTTTTAGTGTTCGAGGCGAGGACTCGAACGATATTAGCTTAATACAGGACGCTGCAAGAAACTCCCAAGTTTGTAATTTCTTTGTAAGTATAATTTGATTTTAAAAAATTATTGCAAATAGTTATAATGTTGGTTAATTAATCCTTAATTTTAATAGTGCCGAGTCCTTTGTGTTCTCCGGCGCCCCTTCACCCGCATCACATTTATCAAGCTTGGCCAATGACGTTGACTGTTTTAAACATGTGAGAGTAATAAATTTTAACAAATATAAACAATATTTCTATTAATACTATTTTCTCAACTTTGGTTAAGTTACTGGAGGGACACATTGGACGAACCCCAAAGTTATATGACGTCATAACAAATTGCAGAGAAAATTCCCTCGCTGACACTTCATCATCAAAAATTATTTTAAATGAATTTGTTACTAAACTAGTCGAGCTAAAAGGGTAAGCTTTCAGGCTAAAAACCAATTAATTATTTACTTAATCCATTTCAATTCATTCTTTGCAATTTATTGTTTATCTAGGGAGTCTCCAGTAACAAAGGATCAGAAGCCACCGACTTTGCCATTCTGGAAATCAAGTGAATCTATTTCAGATTGATACTTCGACTGCTCTTTCAAGAAAAGTGAAACAAGTGTTTCAGCAAATTTCAACTTATCTTAGACCAGACAGCTCATTAGTTGAAAATGCTTAGATGCAGTTAATGCAGTTGTATATTTTGCAAGAAGAAATTAATGGTCACTTAACGTATATTCATAATTACGGACATTCAAACTTTCCAAATATGAAATGTCCAAGTCAGGCCTGCATTATTCCGATTAGTTCTTGGAGTGGGTTTGTTAGACATTAAAACGCATGCAATAGTTACAAACGGTAACAACAATGATGAGAATTTTGATAAGGTTGGCCATCCGCCACCGTGTTCTTCCAACTCAAATTTTATTTGTTGTTGCTCAAATTATTCTAACAATAGTTGTGATGATAACAATTTAGATAAAAATATCGAGGATGCAAATTTGTCAATAAATTTAGGAATTAGTATTATGGCAGATATTTTATCAACATTTTGTTCGTCACTATTAGGGTCAGGTGTTACAAATTCAACTCTTGATTTTGTAGTTAAAGAATTTGATAATTCCTTCCAGATGTCCGAGTTAATTTTAAAAATTGGGAAACAGTCTTGTCTTGAAAATTTCGAAGACTTTAAATGTCAAAAATTGTCACTTTTAAGAGAATTTAGTTCAGTTAAAACTTTGTATTTGGTTTTAAGGCATAACCTGTAAACTTCCACCAAATGTATGAATGTCCACCAAATTTATTGAAATTGTTACCACAATAATAATACATATTCCCCAAGGCAGTAATAATATTTAGTAATGCAAAATTACAATAATAATATACCAAGCAGTAATAAACATTTATTAAATGCAGTAATGATGACATAACATGATGGTAACTATTTATTACAATGAACGGGTTTCTGCTATTACTCGGCAAAATTGTATTCAATACCTCGTTATAATGAATCAATCCCGGGGTATTGTGCACTTTTCCATCCAACAATTGCCATCCACCAATTGCCACTCGACAATTGCCACTCTTGACCAATTGCCACCGACCAATTGCCACTCCACAATTGCCACTCGACAATTGCCACTCTTGACCAATTGCCACCGACCAATTGCCACTCCACAATTGCCACTCGACAGTTGCCACTCTTGACCAATTGCCACCGACCAATTGCCACTCCACAATTGCCACTCGACAATTGCCACTATTGACCAATTGCCACCGACCAATTGCCACTCCACAATTGCCACTCTTTACCAATTGCCATCCACCAATTTCCACTCAACAATTTCCACTTTATACAAATTGCCACCTTTGCATTTTTTATGTAGTGTGTCATACCACGAAATCACCCATAAAATAATACCACCACAAGTTTGTTTGTACAGTGAAAACTTATTATTTGTGAATTAGAATGCGAAATAAATAAACCCACAAAAGGTATATATCCATTTAATTTAACCCTTGTTTTAATGTTTAATCCTTGCATCATTTATTTCATTCCGCTACAAATCTCAGTAGAAAAATATTTAGCTGCTGAGTTACATACAAAATCGAATTTAGCAGTAGCTAACTCTATATCCAATCGCAATCACTGTCCGAATGTACCAACCCCAAATATTATTCATAGTAAGCAGTGATCTACCCATTTATATATTACAACTGAACAGTTATCTCGGAATTAATAAAACTTTGTCAGTTTTGGGATAAACTTTAGCTTGAGGTTTTATCATTTTATCAGTGATAAAATTTCTTGGGCTAAACCTAGCCGAAACCTTTGTTACAGGGGGCATGAATATATGAAAGCATAAATGATTTCGAGGTGCTATATAAAAAATGCAAAGGTTGGAATTGGCATAGCGCGGAAATTGTTGAGTGGAAATTGGTAGATGGCAATTGGCAAAGAGTGGCAACCGTGGAGTGGCAAACGGTGGATGGCAATTGGTCAATAGTGGAAATTGTCGAGTGGCAATTGGTGGGTGGCAATTGTTGGATGTAAATTTACACCGATTCCAATCCCGGGTCAGTAAGTTTTGACATAGTTACCGAACGGTAAATAAAAAGTTATCAGATCAGTAGAGTCACATAGATACTCCGCCCGGTAAACATCTTGGTAATGAAATTCTTAAGAGTGCATATTCCTTAAATTGAGTGGGTACTCAAATCTAAAACGTTTGGTGACGTAATACATGGATGATCACAATGGATATAGAATCGCTGTTACGCCCCTTCAAATTCTAAATATACCACTTCACTCGACCCTAAGTGAACCCTCTCTCCTGAATAATTTTCATGTATGTGAACGAGCATTTCTAGTATTGAAAACGGTGATTCAAATTTTTTCGTGTAATATTCTAACAACGGGGGATCACGATAGTCTTCAAATTTTATAACTACTCTTTAAAAGACGAGGGACATATTTATTTTGAAAAGTGATTCAACGACATCAGTTCTTCCTCTTAACTGTCAAACCTGTGGCAAGATTTTCCAGTACAAATCATCCCTGGATAGACACGTGGTCTGCCATGCTGATGCGAATGCGAGGGTGAAATGTGAAGTGATTTATTTATGCTGATCACCTTAATTTGGTTCTAATCGAAAATTAACTTTTGGAGGCCAGCAAGTTCTCGAACATGTAAAATATCCAGGAAGGTGGATGATACTCTCGTACTGTTCTAGTACATATTACACCATTGTTAGTCCGAACATCATAATCAGATCATCGTAACTCTTTGCTCGACGATCCAAGGAATTCCAGCAAGAGTTATCCTAAGCTACATCCAAAATGCGAGCCACGTACGGGCCCCGCCGGAATCCACGCGCTACACGATTCCTCCATAACACGACTAAACTGTCAATGAGGTCAGTCGTCGG